CCAGGGTCGCCATTCTGTCCTTTGATGGCATGGAGGTCTCTGTGGCATTTTTGTGTTGAGATGATAGACCACATGGCAGTGCACATTCAGCAATTTAGTCAATAAATGCAAAAGACAATCTTCTGTTCTTATTTCATTTTATCTTTTAAGATTTATAGCAAAGTGTATGTGAAAGCAAATTGAAACAAAGAAAGCAGGTAACATTTAAGCCATTTGGCCTCATTCAATGTGTAATTGTGGCAATTTGATTATGACTCAAATAGAAGCATCATTAATAAAGGCAGTTAGCAGCCATTAAAAATGTCAGAAAAGCTTGAAATTGACTTGTTTTTCATATCTTGCATTGTTCGAAGGAGACTGTTTACATTTTGTTCTGAAAACTGATATTAGGCTATTGTAATTTAATGTGAAATTAAAAATAAAAAGTTAAAAGAATGAATGAATGTCTTTGAGGTATCTTCTCACTTTACATTGCATTTTATGATAGCTTTATTGTGAAGAATAGAATTATTGCATATTTTTAAATATGGCAGCTTTAGATTTATGTTAGAAAGAAAAGCAGAAATCCTGACCGCTGGGCTTATGGTCTAATGAAGCATTTAGTATAGAGTAAGATTGGAGTTTTTGCTTTGTGCATAGGACTTAGACTTAAAGATTTGACCCTTAGGCTGTGTATGTGTCTGGTTTTAATGGAGATAGCATTTCAGGGCCACCAGGCTCCATGAAGGATGTGGGGGGGGGAGGGCGCCGAGGGGGGCCTGATAACAATTCTCCTTTCAGCAATAGTCATTTTCTTGTCTGTTAATGCAGCTACTTCCTCTCCTGCCCTCGCCTCTCCTTCTTTCTCACACCCCCTCCCTGCACCCCATCCTACTGGTCTAACTACAGGGAAAAGATCCTTGTTTTTGTTCACTTGCTCGCAAAATGAATGTTTTGTGTATGTGTTCCCAGGATTTTTAGGAATTGCACAGCCCACTGATTGTCACTTTGTGACTTCGTAGTGGGGAGTGGTGTGAGGAAAGCTACCTCCACTTTCTCCTCCTCCACGGTTACCTCATTACCCCTGCCATTTAAATGAGCAGAACTGAAAACATGATGGGTAAGTGGTTTGCTCAAAATAGAAAGCTCAGACCCACATCAAAGAACTTTCTAAGACACAAAAATAGAGAGGCAGCAGTGAAACCAGCAGAAAGCTCGGAGAGAGATAGGTAACTGAGTGTCAGTGTATTCGAGAGTTTAAGAGGAAAGTGCTGAACACTGCTATCTCAGCTTCACTTTTACTAACGGGTTTTTATTTGTTTGACCAATTAATTCAACTAAAAGTAACCTATCCCAAGGAGAACCTTAGCAACACAAGTAGTAATTTGTCTATCACTATGTTGTTTTAAGCACTGAACATTTTGAACCAACTTAAATGTATGCCTTTATTCTTCTGTGTTTTTCCTGCAAAGTTTCTACAATGAACCTGTCAGTGTCATGAGAAAGGATATGGATATATTTTCAAAGCTGCCTTTCAAGATAATAGAAGCAGTGAACATTAGCAAATATTGTTTTACCGGCTAGTGAATCCCTACCTGGGGTGCTTCTTTTGATTTTGTTCTCTCTCAGATCGTTTAGTCTCTAGTTATGCAGCTGAATGCTGGCTGCACACTTGACCCCCAGTGCCCCGTGGGGTGGTGGCAGAGAGTACAGATGTCCAAGAAGGAAATAAAAAGTGAAGAGAGACAGATATACATTTAATGGGGATCTATCAAAAGTCCCCAATAATTTCAAGT